CCGTGGATAGAATCAAATATCAGATGCAATTTTAAATGGAATGGTAAATGTCAGGATGCCAATCGTAAAAAAGGAAAACCTGCAATTGCGCCCCTCCTTACATGGCGCACTGTTCTAGCTGTACTTCTAGACCCTAATTGAAGTCTTTTTTAATTCCTTTTTTCTTGCCCTTTTGTCACTTGTCAATTATTTTCAATGACTTTCCGACCCAAAAAAAATATTTTCAACGACTAAGAAATTTGATTTCTCACGATACGTGTAACTCTCGCTCAAAATTTAAATTTTTTTATCTTTTTCAGGCGTACTCAGCTAACATTTTTTAAGGTTATTTTTTAAACGTTGTTTTATTGGAAAAATTATGAATTTCCTTTATTTGATGACTTCAACATGCGTTGCCACTCGGATAATTGTTCGTTCTTTGTTTTTTTCTTTCCTAAATTCTAAACCCTAAACTCAGAAACTAAAAGGCATAAATGAAAGGGGAACAAAAAGGTGGGGATTGATGAAGCATTTAACAGAAGCAATACGAATGAAAAAAACAAGTTTAGAGAGAGAGAGAGAGAGAGAGAGAGAGAGAGAGAGAGAGAGAGAAGCTTCAATGCTTGATCTTGAATTCAAAGCATTACATTGAATTCAAGAAAGAATCAAAGGAGGTAGGTGGACTCACTTGAAAGCATTCGATTGAATTCAAGAAAGAATTAAAGGAGGCAGCAGGTGGACTCACTTGAAAGAACCCCATCTCTCTCTCTCTCTCTCTCTCTCTCTCTCTCTCTCTCTCTCTCTCTCTCTAAGTATTAAAACTGGGTTGGTCCATTTAGGATGTTGAAAGGAGGGAGACCTTGCAAAGAACCCTAGGTTGGGGACAAAGATTTCGGGGGTCATTCTCTTTTGATCACATACTAAGCAGAAACAACGGTGGTTAATTGTGACCGGCCAAGAGAGAAGTTATTAATCGTGTCATTAAGGTTTGTGTCCATTGATTTATCAAGGGATCATCAGCCATATTCGAGTAGTTGGTGAAGTTTTGGAAGAGTTCTTCACTCTTAATAGTAAAAATCTCTTGCAAGTATGCTAAATCCATTTTCGAGAGTTGAATTGCATCTTAAAGAGCTTAATTATTAACAAACTGCATTAAACTAACGTCAATTTTTTTTTTGCTTTGATTTAGTCAAGCCGTTTGTATCAATTAACCATAGATTATTTAATCTCTATAGAAATGTTATCAGTTGTTTCCTGAAAAAACCAAACAATTTTACTAATGATGGATCATGATATATTGATTTTCATTTGATCCACCGCCCATATAAGAATGTTAGTTTACACTTCCGCCGTTGGATATTTGACATGTCTATGACTTCGGTCACATAATTATCTCCGAGTACGTGTGTTACACATCCAATCCAAAATAATCCATTAAAAAATTAGATTGAACTTGATCGTGACTAGGGTTGCAAAGAATTGAAGATATGAAGAAGAAGTCGTTCCTTCTTTTTAATTTCCGAAAGAGGATAATGGGGTTGGCGATAAGAAAAGTGAGTGTAAAATCTGACATTCTCGTGACTTTATTTAAAAACATCTACATCTTAAATGAACTCAGACACATTATTGAAAGATGTAGTAAATATGCATTGAATTTCAGGGAAATATCTAGACTATATTTTATTTCACTCATGGGTAATATATTGCTATAGCAATGAGTAATGCTACACAGGTACTAAATGCGTCCTAAATTTTTTCTACTAATTATATAACAGCTCAGGTAGCATGTTCCATGTCGTCACAGTATTCATAGTCAGCAGCGAAAATAAATAATCGCTTAGAAGGACAAGATTTTCCATATTTTTACATGGCTCGCAACCAGCAATGAAGAACACTTGATGGCAAAGGCTCTTTCAAACTAGTTGCATCAGTCAACAGGCACTCGAAACTTGTTCCAATGTTGATGTACCGAGATGCAAAGATAAATCCATCATCTTATACTCCATTTGCACGGTCAAACCATCATAGGAAACACAATGAACCAGTGGACAGCACTACTACCAAGGACCCCACGGAAAGTCACGCTCTGGAGACTTTCATGCGCATGATTATAATGAAGCTCCTGGACATCCCTCTTTATACACATCAAGGGTCTGTTTAGTAACGTTTCTGTTTTTTTGTTTTTCTGTTTTTTTGTTCCCCGAAACAGAAAAAAACAGAAATCCGTTTAGTAAAAAAAATCTATTTTTTTGTTTCTGGAACAAAAAAGTGTTCCAGAAATAGATTTGGAACAGAAACAAGAAGCAAAAAAAATTTGCTTCTTGTTTCTGGAACAAGAAAAAAGAAACATTTTTTTTTTCTGAACCCTATCTCTTTCTCACTTCGCCTTTCCAACGCAGTGCTCTTCCTCCCAGCTCACCACCTCCAAAGTGTTGCCTCTGTCCCGCCGTCCCTCTCTGGTGGCGTCACCTCCGTCCGGTCGGTTCTCTCCGGTTGTGTTGCCTCCGTCCGGTCGCCTCTCTCCGGTGTTGTCGCCTCCGTCCCGTCTTCTCTCTTCGGTGGCGTTACCTTTGTCGCCTCTCGTCCAGTCCAGATCTACACACAACTCGCCTCCCGCGGTCGCATCAGTTCGGTCGCCCTGTCCAGTCGTGTCGCCTCTCTTTGGTCGCCTCTCTCCAGTCGCCCTTTCTTCGCTCGGCTATCGATTGCTCCAATCGTGCTTGCCTCTCTCTCGGTTGCTTCTCTCAGTCGAATCCAGGTTTTTCGCTTCGATTCCTTGTGGTTGTACATTCTTTAGTTGTGATTCTCACTTCTTGAAGTTGAATGGCTGCATTCTGCATATGGATTTGCTCTTATTGTTTGTAAATTTGAAACCGTAGCGTCGATTGATGCTGTAGCGTTGATTACATTATGCTATCAATTAGTTGGAGTTATCGACCAACTGCTCTTTGTCCACAGCAGCTTCCAAGTTCTCTTCTTAGTCTTGCTTTGTCAGCGGTTCTTCTGTCAGCAGCAAGGACATCAGTTGATAGTAAATTAGTTTCGTTAAGTAGATGATAGGTATATATTGGAGGGATTGGATAGAAAAGAAGAAAAAAAGGTTAGAAACAGGGAAGCTGTTCTTTTCGTTCTTTCTTATTTTTTGTGTCTTTACGTGCTCCTCAACGGACAAAATCTGCAGAGGATACTCAGCACAGGCTTCATTGCAAGATTCCTCCTGTAAATTCTGTCGAGTTCCATTGCAACTCATTCTTTTTCTTTTATATTTACATGGGATTCTTTCAATCTCACGTGCCGAATGAGTGTCCCTCGGAGGAGATTCAAATCGCAAAATTGTTTCTCTGCCCTTGTATGGCCGATTTCATACACATTAGTCAATCTTGTGTATTCTCTGTTTTGATCATCAGGATCGTGAGGTCTCTGTGTCATACTAAAAAAGAGTAGTGGACAGCTTTTGTTTCGCTGTTAGTATAGGCTTGCAAAGGTTTGTTTAAGGTGTTTACATATCAATTCACATATTCAATTATTTATTGATGCTAGGTTGTATTCATGCTTGTGGAATCAAATTGGACTTTATAATCTCTTGACTTGGAATATTGTTTTAGGCTTTTTTAAATTTCTAGTCTTTTTTATGAGTAGCTAGACCGGTTAGAGTATTTGGCTGTATGATTTCCTAATCTCTCGACAACGCAGAAAGTGGTTTTCCATCTATATGATTATCATGAACTCATATGATGTTCAACTAGTGAAGGTTAAATGGCATCCCAGAAAGAGGCAATCAACGCAAAGTGGACGGAGTCTTTAACCAACTTGTATGTCAGTTTGTTGGTAGAAGAGGTCAAAAAGGGAAATCGCACCTCTTCTACTTACAACAAAGCTGGGTGGACTAACATACGGACTGAATTCAATAAACGGTCAGGACTCCAATATAATCAAGTGCAGTTGAAGAATAAGGTGAACAAACTGAGAAAACAATATGGTAGTTTTAAGAAGCTTCTTTCACAATCTGGATTTGGCTGGGATAATGTCAACAAAACAGTTGTTGTTGATGATCCAAGTATATGGGAATGTCATGTGAAGGTATCATTTAATCTTTGGTCATTTTGAGATCAATGTACATGTACATGGCAAGAGGTTTCATTGTCTTACTGACGTATATCATCATTGTGAAAATTGCAGGATAATAGTGAGTGGGCAAAATTCAAAAAGGATGGGTTTCCTCAGTATCCTGACTTGTGTATTGTATTTGCTGATACATATGCTACTGGAGAGCATGCAGTGGGAAATGCTGAAGATTTGATGGTGTCGGACGAAGGTGACACTAGTGGTGGTCATGCAGACTTAAGTCGAGAGGATGTGAGTGAACACCATGTTGATGAGGGAGTCTTTACATCTGATAAAACTGCTACTCCAGTTCATGATAAGCACAAGTTGGATAGAACTCCAAATACCAAGAGGAGAAAACAGAGTCACTCTTCTATTATTGGTAGCACCTGCAAAGCCTTACAAGATTTGATCAAAACTAGGGCAAGTCAATCTGTGACCGGCTCTATCACCTCACAGGTTGCATCACCACCTGTAGACCCCTACTCTATAGCTGCTGTGATTGGAGTCCTGGTAAGCATGCCCGAGTTAGAGCAGAATCTTTACAACAAGGGAGTGGAACGAGCTTGCGTTAGTCCCGCATGGAGGGAGGCTTTCATCATATCACCAGTTGAAAGGAGACATGGACTTCTCTAATGTCTTTAGTAGATGTTAGGAAATGTACTGTGGATTGTGTGGGGTTTCATTGACTGTATGACTAATGTTGTTGGTTGTTATTTGGTTTTTTAAGATATTGATGTTCAGACTCTTGCATGTGTGGTGACTTGGGTACGATGGATTGAATGGAATTTTTATATTTGGTTTGTTTCACTTTATGACTTAAGTTATTTGTTGAACTTATGTTATTTGTTGTTATTGGGTATTTTTTTCGTATATCTATATTGATGTTCTTGTATTTGTGTTATGGCATAGGTACTATGGAAGGGGGACAAAATAGTGTGTCCAGTGGGCAGGTAGCACAAGTTAAACAGGTTTTGGATGACATTGATATTGACGTAATGATAGTATGGTTGAATATTCTTGAATTGGACATGTCTGTTCATACCAAAGAACCTATTAGGGATAGTAAATTGTCAGGACCCGAATGGGTAAGGGAGATTATTTATGGACATTCAGATAGGATATATGAAGCCTTCAGGATGGAGAGACATGTTTTTCTGAACCTATGTGGTTTAATGAGCGCAAGAGGTTTATTGAAAGATAGTCGATATATAAGGGTAGATGAACAAGTTGGGATATTTTTATATTTGGTTGGTCACAAAAACTCCAATAGAGATTTATGTGAAAGATTCCAACGTTCAGGAGCAACAATAAACAAGTATTTTAATATAGTGTTGAAAGCAGTTATTGAACTGTCAAAAGAAATTATCAAACCATCTTCCTTTGATGTTGTCCCAGAGGAGATTCTTATGGATCCTAACCATAAACGCTACTTCAAGGTATGATTTTCATATTGATTATACACAATCAAATACATGTAGTTGATAATCATGTGTAACACTAGACTTTCATAAAATCTCAGGACTGCGTAGGTGCTATTGATGGCACCCACATTAATGCTTCCATCCCTATATCGCAGCAAATCCCATATAGAGGTAGGAAAGGAAGTACCACACAGAATGTGATGTGTGCTTGTTCGTTTGATATGAAATTTACTTTCGTGTATGCTGGGTAGGAAGGATCTGCCAACGATTGTCGGGTGCTCTCAGCAGCACTCGAGACTCCTCGACTGCAATTTCCTCGACCACCACTCGGTATTTTCGTTGTCTACAAGATATATTTTTCTTTATGATTGTATAACTGTTGCATATCATAACAAATTTATTTATACCTTCTTATAGGCAAAAATTATGTGGTAGATTCTGGTTATGCAGCACTTCCAGGATTTTTAACTCCGTTTAAAGGTGAACGGTATCATTTGAACGATTATAGGGGTAGAGGGAGACGGCCCAGAACAGCGAAAGAATTGTTCAATCATAGGCACTCTTCACTTAGAAATGTCATTGAGAGGTCATTTGGAGCATTAAAGAATCGCTTTTTCATTTTGAGACACATGCCTCCATTTTCAATTCGAAAGCAAGCACTTATTGTAATTGCTTGTTGTGCTCTCCATAATTACATTCGTGAGGAAGACAAGATGGACAAAAACTTTTCCCATTATGGAGATCCGGAGTACCCGTACGGACCTACACAAATGGAGGTTGCAGACGATACATCACTTACGGGGGTAGCTAAGATAAACGTGATTAGAAAACATATTGCAAATAAAATGGCAAGGGATCATAATATGGATGAGATTCCATGACTTTGTATTTTCGACTTCTTTAATGTTTGTTGTAAACTATTATGAATACATTTATGTTAATCGTATTAAGGTCATCCATGACTTTTGTAATGTATTTGTAAACTATTATGGATACATTTTTGTTAATCGTATTAAGGTCATCCGATTTTATATCATATATGTTATGATTTTATTTTTTAGGCCATGCCACTCTCATAATGACCACATAAAAGTGTTTTTTTTAAAACGTAAAAATCACGAGTTTATGAATGTTGAAGTGATTAAAAAATATCAAAGAAGTTATCTTCTTCAAAAACTTTAAGCAAATAATCATATGAAAAAATTAAGAATAATTTTTTTTTTCGGGAATAGAAATTTTGTGCAGTTACTAAACGCGTTTCTATTCTTTTTCTATTCCAGGAACAGAAATTTTGTGCAGTTACTAAACGCTATTTTTTTCTCAGAAACTGTTCCAAGAAATAGAAATAGAAAAAACTATTTCTGTTTAGAAATTGTTTCTAGGAACAGAAACGTTACTATGCAGACCCCAAGTGGAAGTGCTAGCCTCAAAAACGAAATCTGCGCTTTAGTGAACTTCAATATTTTATCTTCTTAGCTATTTTGGGTGGCAGACAGTACCCTGAAAATATATTCAACGGAGAAGCAAATACCCGCAAGAAGAAAGGTAGCATTGAGATCACTGTGACTATTTTACGAGGAAAAGTAGAAGAGGCACATCAGGAAAATCTTAAAGGGACAGTATATTAACCAGTAATACGCACAGAAGATTCACGCTTTTCACTTCTCCTCCTGCTTTTAAAGACCCGGACATTCCTCTACCATCGCCTGTCTTTTGAACCAGGGAAATTTTGAATACGGCAACAAGAATGCATGAACATCCTGTCGAACGTGCAGCAATTACCTGAACCACTCCACATCTTGCAATCACTTTTCTTATTGCCATCGAGTATTCTAGAAATATCTTCCCGAACAACTAGAACGACAGTTGGTGTACTCATACTTCGTGTATAAATCATATAACCGTGGTTAATTTCCATGGAGATGTGTTGAAACTTGAAACCGAAGAGCAACTAGGAGATAGAAGATTCTGAAACCACGAGAAAAAGAAAATGATTAAATACATTTTATAAAATTCATTCATTACAGTTACATTTGTTAAAAGAAAATGATATATTGATTTCTAATTAGTTCGACAATGCCGGTTGGTATTGAGATCTCAAATCTTCCAAGTAAGTTGTGGCTTAACGAAGGAAGTAGTTATCACCTTGAATGTAAGACGCTCTCGTTTGAACATGAAATCTGCCTATAGGATACTCACCCCAAAAGGACATAATGCAAGAGGGGGTGGAGACAATCCAGAAATGCAGAATGCGATTTTCTTGACGCACAGAGCAAGACACATACCAAAATATTCATACGCTGCAAGCTTGCATACAATCCATACGGTTGCAGTCCTCTACAGAAACGACATGAGGGAAACAAATGCTTACAAGAAAATTATCACACCTTCTAGGTCCACAATGTGGTGTTGTCGCATGCTTATCTGATTAATTAGTTTTCGCATTTGACTGGTACAACGAGTCTCGGCTTCACCCTGTAAAATGAAAGATGTTATCCAAGAAATCTACAATGATTTCTAGCGGATGTGGGTTAGGAGAGGGGGGACGCACGCATTAGATTTCTGGTTATAGAATATTAGAATGTCTTGGGGTAGTATTACTGTAATTCTTGACGCTTCCTTGTTAAGTAAAAATTCATGAATGAGGCGTGCTTTACCTGAACCAGAACAGCAGACAAAAGAAAAACTGAGTTTCACCTTAAACACTACCACCAAAGTACCCATATGTTACCTCTTCAATCAAAGCATCTATCAATTTTTCCAGCAAATTTACCTAGAATTGGATCTGAAATTCCCGAATTACTATATGTCCATGGTCATCAAAGCAAAATTCTCCAGAGTAACACCAGAACAGAGCCCACAAGGCGACTGCCATAAAAAATTACGGCACCTTAAAGTCTGTGATTAATAGATGTCCCGCAGTCAATATAATTTTAACAACCTCTTCTGATGTGTTCTGCATCGAACGCTTTGTTTACATGTTAGGATAGTAGCCTTAATCCTTCTATCCCGCATGATTTTGCAAGTTAGTTTAGTTCGGCGACCGATCCAAGCACACGAAAAAGGAACAAAATCTCTGGTTCATATGCTGTGTCAAAATGCATAAGCTAAGATAAAGCTGCATTTATATTTGTGCACTCTTTTAAGTCCATTAGCATTAGCAAACTGAAAGTTGAACCGAGGAAACAACTTTTTTTGCCATTTATTCACGTCAGTCCCAGCTTCTGATCAAATCGCTTTTCTTTCTGTCGAAGATGGAGACGGTTGAGTTTTGCTTCAAGCTAGTGAGATGATTGTCAGCCGCTCGCGGTGTTCCCTTTTCTTTTTCTTTTGGTGAGCTGATGATCATTGTTTCTTCCTCGTTCGAAGTTCAAACACTAAGTTTTTGCCTTCAAGGCAAATGACATAAAACAACAGAAAGCGAAGACCCAGACATCTGACAAAAAACTGGAACAGACTTCAGTACGATTTTACTGACAATTTCATGTTCTTGAAATGAACTCCTAACTTTTTGCTCAAACCATATACACCGGATGGCATTCCGCTAATCTGCTCATTTCATCAACCATAACAAGTTAAAAGTTCAGTTCGATCCAATGGAGGCGAGGACATTCAAAATGTCAATGGGCGCCCAAAAGAAAAACATAAAAGGAACACACTGCTCCTACTCTGCTCTTCTCCTCCTGTCTCTCCTCTACTCTACTCTATTCTACTCTACTCTGCCTTTCTTCTTCTCCAGTCATCCCTGCACGTTCGCCTCCGTGTTCGGAAGGTAGTATGTGTTCCTGCAATTAAATTAAAAAATGAAAAAGAGAGGAAAATAAAAGGGAAAAAAAAAAACCAAGAGAGCAAGAGCACCACTAACTATACCCTTCCACGAGAACGAATCCGCGCGCCTCCAAACTCTGCCTCATTTGTAGAACAGCGGAGTCTTCATTATCTTCATCCGGGACCGGACCATGAACTGTCACCCTATAAAGCTGATAGGGCGAATCAACTTCATCCAATAACTCCAGTAAAGCTCTCATCTGGGCCTGATCGTGGACGACTAATGTGCTTCTGTTCAGGACTCGGTAACCTTCGGCCGAGTAAAGCTTCTGCAGCCTCGATCATGGCTCTTTGCGCTTCAGAATCCGCTCTGAGAAGGAAATAAAATGAAAGCAAAACGGGAAATTTAGAATAAATGAACATAGCATTGCTATTTGAAATCGCATTCTGTGTAGTGTGTACCACCTCTTCGCAGTTCTTGCGGCATTTGCAAGTGCCCGGTGGTACGCGAGAAGGGAATCGGCCATTTGTGTTTTTTTTAAGAGGAAAATGGCAGTGTGATTTTCACGGGAAGGAGGCTGAGCTTTTATATAATGGGCGATGACGTTTCGGCCGTTTCGATCGGGGCCGTGACGGCCGTCCATGAAGATGACGAGCCAAAATATACTCGTTTTTATGGTGTCGCCATGGCTCAATCTGCAGTCCTCCCCATGGGCGCCCGAAAGGCAAAATAGAACCATTTACGGCCTTTGATGGGGTTGCCAGAGCCATTTGCAGTCCTCTGGCAGGAGCCCGAAAGGCAAAAATTTGATTACCGGACTAATCGAGTTAATAGTTTTTTAATTTTTGGCCAAATAATGAGTCAAATTGAGTAGACATCAAGCTCGGCTGAACCCGATTATCAAGCGCCCTTTAATAGACCCCGATGCGTGATCAAGCTTGATTACCCAAGTTCAAGCTCTGACTTTGGGAAATCTTTAATAGGCTCGAGCTCGACTCGGATTAACTCGAACAGTCTGTGTATTATTGTCTTGACTTGAATTCAGGCTAACATAGTTTTAACTTCTGTTCCAATTAGGCTGTGCTTGTATGGAGGATGTTATTTTACCGTAAAACGTTTTTTTTTTCCCGTTTCTCAGTGTTTAATATGGAAAAATAAATTTGTCAAAAGAAATTGACTTCACTTAACAAGAAAACCCCAGATCCGATCTTCAATTTTTTTTCGGTTACACCGATCTTCAATTTGGATGGCAAATAATTGTGACTAAAGACAAGGCATTAATCGTACGTCTAATTGTTTTTCTCTTTTTGTCAACTGACAGAACAAAAACAACAAACTTTGTTTGTAGACGAAACAGTGAAAAAAAGTTTACAATTTGAACTCATTCAAGAAAAAGATGCACTATATCTCGTAAAATCAGGACAGATTAGATTTCAGAAAGGTAGGAAATTTTCCAAATCAACTTGAATATGATTTTATCCT